CTACGCCCACCATAGTCCTAATCACCCCCTCTGACGGCCAAGTCGGGCGGATCTGACCAAATGATTTTCCAACTGAAGTTATAAATCACATACCTCCAGATTCGATCCATAGCCGCACGTCCAGAAGCATCAACCATAGAGAAGCAGACCATGAAGAAGCAAAGCGTGGTAACTGCTGCCCTCCCACTGTCGCTCCAAACCATTCACCAGACAATAAACAACGCAAACCATCTGCTAGAAAGATAAACCCTAGACGAAAGTCAGGGAGATGACAACCCTAGACGAAAGCTAGGGAGAAGATCACTCTTCAACCAATTATTAACTAACGAGAATCACTCTTTTTTCTATCGCAATTGCAACCAATTGTATACTTGGTGATAGAGTATATGGGCCCAGACCGTATGGCCCATATACTCAACGGATTAAACACAGAGACAGCTGACACCAACCTTCCCTTATACTCGGAAATAAGGGAAGATTGTCAATTTGGTGCTCGTACTTTCATGCAAAAGTCAATTAGATCCTCGTACTTTTAAAAAGATTAATCAAATCCACGAACTTTGTAAAAACGTTCAATTAAGTCCATTTGCAGATTACTTGCTATGTGAGTAGGTCACCCTCTGATGTGGTGCACATGTGGCAGTCCGATCGACAATAATTTTGCTGACGTGGCACACATGTAGAAGTCCAGTGAGCCATTTGTTGATGACGTGGTGCACATGTAGACCGCCATGTGTGCGCCGCGTCAGCGGGTGACCTGCTGAAATGTACTCAATTGAACGTTTTTACAAAATTCGGGGATTTGATTGATTTTTTTTAAAAGTACGATGACCTAATTGACTTTTTCATGAAAGTGTGAGGATCAAATTGACAGTTTTACCCGGAAACAATGTTTTGTCTTTTGTGGAATTAATTAGTATATTTGAAATGTTTTAATGAGAAATCAGTAAAAACTATTTATATTATAACATATTTATGAAACATTTATACTTAGAGGTGCCTAAAAAAAAATTTATATTACCATGGGAAAAGGGGCAAATAAGCCCTCGAACTAACCGAAAAAGTGCAAATCACTCCTTTTATAGGAGGCTCTGTCCAGCCATCGCCATTTGGGGCGGTTACCGATGGAATGTTTTGATGATTTTTTTTGAGCATCTTCTTCATTAAGTCTAGTTTACTTATACCAAATTTCAGCTAAAAATACAATCGGGAAGCCAGTCAAATAAATGTTTGAAGATAAATGCGCAGTTAAACAGCACAGTATATTTCAGAAAATCATCTGACTGCCTTCTCGGTAAACAACACAGTATACCAAATTTCAGCTAGAAATAGAAATAAAGGATGACACCCCATCCATGAGGTAAACATCCTATTTTTTGTCTGATCACCGTTTATCTCATACACTTTTTTTGAAAATTTTAAAAGCAATACTATTTCTGTGCAAGACTTATCTTTATATAATACTAGATTATCACCCGTGCGTTGCACGGACATGAAGTTATCAAATATGGAGTATTATCTTTTTAAAATACAACTGAATTAATGCATCAAAATTGATCTAACTCACACATTTTGAAGCGATAAAACACTCTCTATATAGGCTCGCATGACCAGAATACTTTTCATTTGAATTAATATAACCCGAAGTATAACATATGTATGGGCGAACATACATCATGTATATATTTAAACCTATTTAAATAGTGTTATCGTTCATATTGGTTGTCTTGTTTTAGTTTGAAACAATTATTAATAAAATGGTTAAAAAATAAAATTTGTGTTTGAGAATTAACTTTAGTAAAATAAAGTTAAATGATAAGAACCGTGTATTTCTTATCAAAAAGAGAAATTGAAAATTCATTTTGAGACAATCCAAAAAGGAACGTATGACAACTAAAATGGGACGGGAAGTATCATTACTTTTTATTGGTACTATAAACATTGTCTAAAATGAAATGCAACACGTAGCCTAAGATATAAGTTTAGTTATCTCAAGTTGTAGAATTAATGAAAGAACTTTAAATTCCATTATAATACAGAGTATCTTTTAGAAAAAAAGAGTAGTGAAATTTAGTTGTTTGAAATAGAAGATAAAATTATACTCCATACTTTTTTTTATTAGTCCCTTATTCTGATTTGAGATGTCTTTTTTTATTTATCCATGTTTGTGTTGTTAGTAAGTTTTTTTTTCCTATCAAAATACCTTTATACATTCACTTTTTACCTTTAACTTTTTTATTTTTTAATAATACATTACTTTCTATTTTTACTTTTTCATTACTTTACTCTTATTTATATATTCTCTTTCCTACTTTAATTATACCAAAAAGATTTGCCACTTTTGTATAAAGTACCCCATCAGTTCGAGCTTAAGAGCGCGTTTGGTGACTCTGTTTTTCACCTTATCAGCCAACTTTTTAACCAAACACGTAATTTTTTATTTCGCTCGCTTAATTGTGTAATAATAAAAAAAAAATAAGGGTGAGTTTACTTTTCTGCCTGTATTGGCCGAAGTTACTGTAGCTAGATGACCATTTTAGCCATTTTTCATATACATTTTTTCTTTATTTTGTTACTAATTTTTTTTTCTTCATAAATCAGTAGAATTGACCAATACAATCATTTCAGTAAGAACTTTATAAATTTCAATAGAATCAGTAGATTCCGCCGATTCTAGTGTTACCAAACGGGTTCTAAGATTCTCGCTTGTCTTCTTTAGATACACCGACTAAATGTTCTCATGTATATTTCATGAAACAATTAACCCTTACATATGATAAACTAATCACCAAATATTAAAAAATACTACCTGCATCTTAAATATAACAATTATCGTCAACGTCCCAATTTATTATATACTCATCAAAACTTTTTCTCAAATATACTCGAATTACCTTATTAAAATATTGTTTAAATAATTGTGTCATTCTTATACAAATATTTAATCAATTCTAGACAAATTTTAAAATTTAAAATTCCAGACAATTTTAATTAGCACGTAGGAAGTATAAAGTCTCTCAAAAACATTTTTTAAACAATGAATCAAGAAAAACGTTTTATTAACCATGCAATTAAGGAGTTTCTTTAACAAACGTTGTTAATTGGTATCTAAGCAATACCTTTATACTTTCATAGCAGTCATATTAGGGTCGAGCTTGTTAGAGTATCTAAGCAGTGGGTATGCAGCCTTTGTACTTTCAATTCTTCTTCCAAAGACACAAAGCCGATACAATACATTATACTCCCTCCGTCAAGACAAGGTTGGCCAAAGTTGGCTTTCACTGCACGTGGATTAATAAAGTAAAAAATGTGTGGTTGAAATTTGTGCAGAGAAGAGAGAATTAATTTTAGCCACATATTCCTTACTTTAAATGAAAATGGCAAATCTTTTTGGGACATCGAAAAAAGATTGGTCAAACTTTTCGGGATGGAAGGAGTATGGAGTAAATTAGACAACCTTTGACTAATCTTTTAGACTTTTAGGGTAGAGCTTTGTAAAGCTCCAATGCAATCAATACCAATTTGTTTACCATGTGATAGTGACGTTTTTGAGAGGGAATTTTGGCCATTTTTCCACCTTGGTTTGTATATAGATAGATGGATGGCTAAACTTATGATAATGACTAAACGTAAAGAAGACTTCTTCTATTTGGCTTCTACGGAGTATTTGCGAATACAAGCCTACAAGGCAGTCGTGGTTTCTATTCATTAGTTTTCTAATTGTGAATACATCCCAAGCCATTTCTTGTTACTCATTCATTAGTTAGAGCCGCTTAAAGGCATTGGTTTTAAATAGGCCTAGAACCCGTTTGGATCTAATATGAATTTAGTGGAATTGTTACAAAAAAGTTAACTAATCAAACCGATTTTATTCCCATCTAAAATTTCAAGAACCGTTATGGAACCGAACTAATAGTAAACGGTTCGATTCTTACTTTTATCGGTTCCCTAAGCAAAAAAAAAAATCTATAAAAAATTGACACAAATTACTTTCTACAACGCAAAAAAGTCGAAAATTTAAAACAAAACCAATAAGTAACTTTTGAAGCTCTTATCACTTCAAACATCAAGTTCAAACTTAATATATTCAAAAATTAATAGAATGAAATAATTTTTGAATTTTATTTGTATATAAAATATGAAAATCGTTGTTGTTTGATATCAATAAAAGTTGGATCATCATAGTAGAATACACCATCTAATTCAAGTTCGTCAAAACGTAAAAATCATATTGAATACACAAGTACAAATATAAACATCATTATATTTCAAATCCTAGGAGCATTATTTACACTAAATCTCACAATTACAATCATCTTAAATATTATAAAAAAATATCAAACCAACACAAATTGATTTGGTTTACTTTTATAATTATGAAATTTCTGTGATGGAAAAAATATGATTTGTAAACACACGAGGTTAATGTATTAATCCTCATTCGCTTCCATCAATTAAATTTAAATTATTATTGTTGTTATTGTTGTTGTTACTAGTTATACTTTCAAATTTTCATTTTTTAAATAACGGTTCCTTAACGGTTTCGTAGACATATTTTTTGTAGGAATCAGAAACCGAACCGTTAACAAAGAATAAGAATCGAACTGTTAACAATTTATAACTCATGCGTAGGAATCGAACCGAACTAGATTTTAACTGTTCGGTTTCAACTGTTTTCCGGTTCTTGGTTCCCGGGCCACACAGCTAGTATCGGGGACAGAGCCCCACTCTCTATCTGTCAGATTGGGATTATAGTCCAACTTACATCCTCCCAACGTACTGTCCGGTCGGGGTTGAGGGCCCTCAGGGATGGGGTGTCATCCTTTTTTTTTTTTTTTAATTCCTCCTCGTATAGTACGGAGTCTTTGTATTGTGCTGTACTTAACTTATTTTTGCTCTGTACTTGAACTATAATTTGGATTAATCATGAATAAGTGAATAACTTGAACTATACTTTGATAAATCATAAATAAGAGGGTTTCTGTCAAAGAGTAAACGCAAATACACAAAACAAATTCGAAGGGGGTTGTTTTATCTCAGCTCATGTGATGGCCTTTTGCTGAGTATCCGTTTTGCTGCAATGGCCGCCGGTGACGTCGGGAAATGGAGGAGTACCGCTCTTCTGGTTATAGATATGCAGGTATTTTGCCTTAATCTCGCGCTGCCTTTCTCTCTAGCACTCCATTTATTAGAGATTTTCTTGTTGTGCAGAATGATTTCATATTACCAGGTGGTCCTATGTACGTCAGGGGCGGCGAAGACATCGTCCCCAACGTTATTAAGGCAGTTGAGGCTGCAAGAAACCGTGGCATCCCCGTTATTTGGGTACCCTTTTAACACATCTTAATAATTTGTTCTTTCTTCTTTCCTTGATTGCTTCAAAGTTTGTATCTTTATCCACAATCCTTGAAAATTGAAATATTGGTATGCTATTGTAATTGTGAAGTGTTCTGTATATTACTCACATGGTGTATCCTCATGGAAAGAGAGATGAGATAAGATTTGATTGGGGTTTAAACATCAAGTTGATGATGTTACTTTCTAGGACCTCTGCTTCAGTATTATTGGATTTAGAGCATTACTACCAAACACTTTTATTTTTCATTCTTATATGTATATTTTCTATCAGACACTAACTTTTTCTTATACCGCGGGTGTCTGGGACCAAATTGGCCTGATTGATCTCGCAGGCCTTAAAGTTAAGGTCCAAGTAAATCTCCTATGGTGGGGTTTTTAATTATCGACCTAGGAGAACTTATGTTCCTAGATTTAAACCAGTTGAACAACTCCGTAAGGTCAGATACGAGCTTACAGTATGTTATTTCCTGAATGGGAATACTTGACATAAAGAACCATAAATGACATATCTAACACCCTTGGGACCACTCATTGCTCTTTTTGGAGTTAAAAAAAGTTAATATACTTATGTACACCTTTAGATAATTTGGCACCACAAAGTCGTCAAGTTTGCACATCAAGTTATTTCAACAGAATTTACCTCTTTCAAACAAACAGGTTGTCCGTGAGCATGACCCATGGGGAAGAGATGTGGAGTTGTTTCGAAGAGGTTTGTACTCCCCTGGGAAGCCAAAACCAACTTCCAAGGGGAGTGTGGGTGCTGAACTTGTAGAAGGGCTTGTCATCAAGGAAGGCGATTACAAGTTGGTAAAGACACGTTTCAGTGCCTTCTTTAACACAAACCTGCATTCGTATCTCCAAAGCAATGCCATTACCAGCTTAATCACCACAGGTGTCATTTGACTTATATTTACATTTTCTAAATAGAGATTGTGTTAAAGTTTGGGGAAGTTACCCACATATTATTAAATTGGGAAACTCACCTAGTCACCTCAAAAAGAACATGTGACGTTTACCTCATATTTATATGTCAAGAACATGTTTGTTGAACATCTGCTGTGAGACGCACATAGCACGCCTCCCGTCCAAATGTATTGAGCGGTGAATAGACTAAACCGGTCTCAAATGGGGTACTCCAAACCATGGTGTCAATCAAGTAAACAAATTACAGTCGGATCAAACCCTAATACCATATTAAGTCGAACCTAACTTTCTTCAAAAGGTTATTCAAGATGTGAGGTTTGCCTCATGTTACCTTTGTGACCAAATTCTTTTGGAACTTCACTATTTATGTGATCGATGTAATTTCTTTTTGTTCTGTATAAAAACATATTTTTATCATATTTGATTTACACAATTCAACCCTTTAATAATAGAACCTTTGTTTTCTTTACAAAACAAAAGCAATACTGCATTTGTAAATATGTAAATTTAATCATTAACCTTCATTTAAATATTATTTGGTAAAGTATAATTTGCAAAGGAGTTTGAGATAGAAGTTAAAATTAATAAATTAGACACAGAACTAGAAAATATCCAGTGTTGAATACTTAAAACATATCACCCACTGTATCAGAGATAGGCTTACTTAACTTAATGCTTAGGTTTTTAAGGTTGAGACTCATGTTCCAACTCTTTTACATAGTATGTTACTGTGCTTATTTAAATTTGATTGTTTGACAGTTGTTTTCTACTACTGTTTAGGTGTCCAAACTCCAAATTGTATCAGACAGACGGTGTTTGATGCAGTTTCATGGAATTATCAGCCGGTAACTGTTATTGTTGATGCAACGGCTGCTGCAACGTATGAAGTTCATGCTTGTATGTAAATAAATTACTTCAACCTGTTCCATCTCCATAATTTGGAATTTACAATAATCATTATGTGCTCAATTTTTTCCCAGCTGTTCACAGATTCACGCTCTTAAAACTTCCCCAGTTTAACGATTTGTTAAAGGAAGTTTTCATTAGATAACATCTTTAATTCTTTATACTAAAAGTGTAGCACTACTTACACATTATCCTTCAATAGTTACAACATAATGCACTTAAATGGCTGAATAAATAGTTTTGGCCACTTTATGTCTTCCGACTATTGTGTCAATGATACTTTATTACTCCACTTTAACTTTTTATGATTTTCCCACCATAGGTGGAGGACAAGAAGTGTCACTGTGACAATAATTGAATGATTGAGTGTAATTTTCATTATATCTAGGGACTTAAAGTGAACAAATTCAAAGACGAAGGTTCAAGTGTTTATGCCACAATAATCGAAGGATTATAAGTGAAAAATGTTCAAAGACAAGTACCAATGATATCAGGACACAATAGTCGAAGGACTAAAAGTGTCCACCCCTACTACAAGTTATATACATTTTCCTTATGGTCCTGTTGCTGCATTGCACTTGGGGATTGTCAAAGGGCACTGCTTACAGTATTTGCTTTCATTTTGTAAACAGCAAACATGTCAGACATGAAAAATATTGGAGTGCTGACTCCTACGCTGCAAGAATGGTGCGAGTAATCCGCGCTGCATCTGAAAGCTTGCAAGTGCATCTCTCTCTTGCTATGCCAGATGTTAAAATCACTTATCTTCAAGGAAGTCAAGTATATTGAAGTACCTACTGCTGTCAGCTCCTATTGTTAAATATGTACTGTACCAAAGCAAAACACAAAACTACATGCTTGTAACATACTTCGAAAATCATAAAAGTTCCTAGCTATTCAGTTAGCAAAAGGTTACTGCCATTTATGTAGGCTGTAAGCTTTCTTTTTAGATGATGATAGATGTAATTTATGAACTAAAAAGTTGGACATTGGTCAAATGCTACACTCTCTTTATCGGGAGTCTTTGTTCTCACTTCCGTTTACTAAAAAGTATGATAGTTCACTAAAACTTGCGGTGTATATGGAAAGTTGGGAGATTTACTTGGAAGACTAAAACATGGCTTTTTCCTCAAAATAGGAGCACTTAGTTTAAACATTCTTAAATAGAAGTTTTTATTTGTGATTGGACTAAAATATCCCTCACAGCCTTCACTGCTGCCCCAGGAGGCCAGGAGGCTAGGACTGCTGGACCGTCACCTGCTGCCTGCCACCGGACCCCCGGCCGCCGCCAAAAAAATCCAGATTTTTTCCCTAGCAGCCTGCCAGATTTCTGCCGCCAGAGCCGCCACCACTGGACTGCCCCGCTAGCAACAGACTGTCTTTATTGTGAAAGAGAACTAGGGGGGCAATTAATTGGGTTAGTTAATTAATTAATTCAATTGAGGGTAAAAATGGAATGATTAGTCCTATTTAGGGAAAATCAAACATGAGGACCTATGTTTTGTCTTAGACATGACAATTTTTTCATTGAAAGTTTGCTTACGTTGTGAATCGGATAGACCATATGTTAGTAAAACTGCGCTTTGCTGCCAAACTTTCAAGCCATTAGTAGTACGGTTATTCATTACAACTAAAATAAGTTGAAGTAAAAAATAAAATGCTTTCATTGAGAGTTGAACTCAAGACCTCCCGCTTACTAAACAGGTGCTCTAACCAACTGAGCTATGAAAGCTGTTGTGCAATATTTGGATTTCGTTATATATAATTTTTCTTTCATTTGAACTTCATTATTTTTCAAGTTGTAGGCTTGTGTATCGGTCCAACTCCAGAAATGAAGCAAAGAGGGAAAGAATTATCTAGGAATAAAAGTAACTCAAAATGCATAAAGAACTAAAAATACTCAAGGATAAAATAACATTCACTCATATAAAATAAATAATACTCTTCGCCATATCTATGAATAATTCACTCATATTACATTCACTAAAATAATTTATCTAGAGAACTCACTCATAGTACATTCACTAAAAATACTTTATATAGGAATAGCTTACTAAAGTATTTTATTTAACAACAATTAATAAATTACATTTAGAATGTTTTTACTTGAACTGTTTTCAGCCCTACATCAGATCAGATCATACTTAAACAGACTAGGGGTGAGCGCGGTCCAGAACGGTTCGGTAAACTAGCAAAACCCGTAATGTACCTGTGAGGTTTCTAACAGTTCAGTATGGTGACTATGGTCCGGTTCTAAAGATGGACTCATTCGGTACCATGTCGTTTTGAAATGGTACAAAACGATTCGGTGCAATGTCAAACACATGTTAAAACATTTGCACAATCTTGCAATTAGTAGATAATTATCACACTGGCCAATTCACGTGAAATGTTGACAAAATACAAGAAAGAGCATTCCAAATACTATAAAAGATTTAAGAGGCTGACGTTTTTGTATTTAAATTCACAAATACTCAAATTAGGAATGGACGAGGATCGGGCCGGGCTCCGGGCCGGGACTGGGCCGGCTCAGGACTAAAAAATTCAATCCCGGTACCAGCCCGGGTTTGTACCAGGACCGGACCATGCCTAAACAGTACCGGGTCGGGACCAGACCGGGCCGGACCGGGCCTGGGCAATAAATTAAAAAAATAGTGCAATCAGGCTCGGGGTCGGCCGGGTCGGGCCTAAAAAATGAGCCCAAAGCCCACCCTTATAGACATCGGACCGGTGCCGGGTCGGGCTCCGGGTCTAAACAGTACCGAGACAGGACCGAGACCAGGTCGGGCTGATCCGTCCTAGTCCATCCCTAACTCAAATAATGCAACACAATTAAGTAATAGTATAGCAAAATGACGATACACTAGATAAATATCATCTTTATTGAATTCATGTGGAAATATAAAAAGAATATCGTTAAATTGTTGAATATAATAGAAAAAATTGGCGTTCTTCTTCTTCTTCTTCTTTATTCTAGGTTGAATATTGGTTCTAATTTAATTCATGAAAAAATTTCACTTTTGGTCCCATGACTATTATACCACTTCCACATTTAGTCCCTTACTTTCAGATTGTCCACATTTAGTCCGTGACCATTATCCTCTCACCACCCCTCGTCCTTCCGGCCAAAATTCCGGCAAATTTTGTCCACTTCTCAGCCTCAGAATCAGTCATTACATTAAATTTTGTATCAGGTTGGGTTTTTCATATCAATCTTGCATTAAATTTGGTTTTTCATACCTAAAATCTGCATTAAATTTACCAGAATTTTGGCCAAAAGGACGAGGGGTGGTGAGGGGATAATGGTCACGGAGTAAATGTGGACAATCTGAAAGTAAGAGACTAAATGTGGAAGTGGTATAATAGTCATGGGACCAAAAGTGGAATTTTTTCTTTAATTCATATTTGAGCCGTAAGAGCTAAGATTCAAACCATATTACTTAAGTTGTAAAACTATCCAAATATGATACAACAAAAAGTCATATACAGTACATTACTAGAAATTAATAGTCATTAATGATTTTTAAAACTTTAGCATTCTTTCATTATATATCATCTAAAGAAAAAAATAACAATATTTATATAAACACACACATTTAGCTATTTTAGGGATGCATGAATACATACTTGGGCTATAAAATTGTTGGCCAATAAAGATACGGAGTATTTATTGGTGTGGAAAAAAATATAAAAAGGACTTTTAGCTTATTTTATTCCAAACTATCATCAAATTCACAAATATATCCTATACTTTAACTTTTATAAAAAATATACTCAAACTTCATCTTTTTCAACAATTATGCTTTTCTTTTTTGTTTTTTCAAAATTACATATTTTTATTAATACCATAAGATATAATGAATACAAGCTTGTAAACTTAAAACTAGAAAAAAGTGAAAAAAATGAAATATAAATATAATTTTCTTTTTTATTTTAACTAATTCATCTATTGAAAGTGTAATTGTGAGAAAAGTTAAAGTTTGAGTCTTTTTTAATAAAAGTGAAAATTTGGGATAGATTTGTGAATTTGATGATAGTTGAGGATATATTTAGCTAATAATCCATATAAAAATCTCAAATGCATTATTTTTGAACGGTTCGATCCGATATTTTTCGGTTCTCAAAATCTAGCACTGTCTCGTACCCATTTGAAACGTACGGTTTCGGTTCAGATAATTTTATAGAAATGTTTAAATACCCGATATTCGGTTCTGTACCATTATGGGGTGATTCAGTTCGAATTTTATGTCCATCCCTAAAATGACTAGAACAGACTTAAACAAATCAGACCAGACTTTCATAGTTATAGAATTCACAAACACCAGATATTTATCATTCCTGACTTAAACAGACAAGATCAGATCATACCAGCAAATTTGTAATTATACATTCTTACTAATTACGGTCGTCACAAACTGTTAAACATGAAGGCCAACGTCATTACGGCAATGGACTAGTGGATAGAAAATGGTACTAATATGAAATTTGTAGTGGATACAAAAATTACAATTATTTTACGGAGTAATTATAATTATAGAAATAAATATTATAATTATAATTACAATTATAATTACAGAAATAAATATAATTAAAAATGGAATAACAATTTTAATTGTAACTATAATTATAATTAGTGTAATAGGTATAATAATTATGCATATTATAATTTTAATTTAATTATAATTATGATTATAATTATATTTTTTTAAATTATGAATATAATTATACATATATTTATATTATATTTATAATTACAATTCTAATTATAACAATTATAATTATAATTATAATTTTAGAAATATTCAATTCAGATAAGATCAGAAAGATTCTTAATACGATTTTTTAAATAATAATAATAAAACGTAAAAAATTAAAATAAAAAAACATAAAAAAAATAAATATATACAAGCCTCAACCATCACCTCAACCACCTTCCAGCACCGCCACCTTAAGTCACCGGAAAAGAATACCAAAAAAATGTCATCGTGATTTCGAGATGAAAGCTTGACATCTTCAAAGAGTAAAAATGTACATTTTCAAAGGAATGTGATTTTTTAGACAAGATACATTTTTTCCGACGATTGGAGCTAGCGTTGGGAGGTGGACAATGCGGAGGCAGCGACCTACATTTTTTAAATACTTTTTATGTGTTTTATTTTGCTTTTTTAGACTTTTTAAGTTTTAAATTTTTTTATTTTATTTTAACTTATGTTTCCCATTTTTATTAGTAATTTATACAAGTAAAAATTTAATTTATGTTTTCCATTTTTATAAATTCTTATATTTTTACTAGGGATGACTCGGTTCAGGCCGGGCCCAGTTCGGGCCTTGAACCGGCCAGGCCTCGGTTCAAGGTACGGGAGGCCCGGAACCGGCCCGGGTAACCCCCGGGTCCGGGCCGGGGCCGCACAGTAGCGGGCCGGTCCGGTTCCGGGTCGGGCCCGCACAGTAGCGGCCCGGCCCGGTTCCGGACCGGTTGGCCCGGCCCGGGTCCACCCCTAATTTTTACTATAAATAAAACTATGATTTTCTTATTAAAAAATAAATACTCCCTCCCGTTGGAAGGTTCCTCTAAGTAAATGACACAATTTTTTAGCCAAATGGGACAAAGGTGTAATAATGTAATTAGTACTTGCATCCAAATAACAAAAAAAATCATCATATACTAAAAACGCAGACTAACAAAAAGTATGAGTTCACAAAACTAAGAGGAAAAGTAAATTAAATGAAAGGGAAAAAAAGAAAAGAAAGTAAATTAAATGAAAGGGCAAATTTTCATTATGATTTAAGCAATACAAAGCATTCTAGCATTTTTGTTCTTTGAGAAGTAGTGCTTGGATCAAAGAGTACTCATTCCTCATTTCTCTTCTAATGCAAGTACAAATGGGTGTACTTTTAGGCATTTAAGAAATCAAGTGTTTTTTAAATAGAAATACAAGACAAATGCATTATAAAAAAATATGTAAAAATGCAAACTTTCTCCTATTAGGTTCTTAGCCAATGCCTCAAAGCGTTGGTTAGCAAGACCCCCATCTTTGTTTGTCTGTTGATATTTCAGCACATGGTTGATCATCTCAAATGCAATTCACTTT